ATGTCCCTTAAGATTAGCCAACAGGCTTTTCTGATAAGTGCTGGGAAATATAAATCAGTTGAGGAAGTTCTGCAAAATGTGTCAGAAGACAATTTCCTGATTAAAAAAAAAAAAAAAAAAAAAAAAAAAAGTGAAAAAGCACCAGGGGTGGACAGTTCCATTTCTAATGCCTAACAAGGAAGAAATCACTGCAAGCCTGAGACTTTTGGGCTACTTGGATTGGGCGGCTTAAGGGAATTTACGCAGGTTTACATCCAAGTTACACAAACTTGGAGGAAGCAGATTACTCATGGAATGGCCTGAGCCATACATGTGAGATGGATGCAAAACACTCAGGTTTTTTATGCATCTCCAACAGGGTTTGAGCAAATCAGAGCTGCCCCCCCACCTCCAGCCCCCAGAGCAAAATCAGTGCCAGAATCATGTTGTTCAGCAACCAAGTTGGGACTGTCTGCAAATCATTCCCAAATCCTCAGCTTCACTCAGGAGCATTTTCTCCAGTGATAAGGCTCCATCAGGAAACACAGCTGGATGGAGGAAGGAAATTCTGAGAAGCAAAAAAAAAAAAAATAGTGGGGGTTCCAGGAAGTTCAACCAGATAGGAACTAATGGAATTTGTTTTTCTGTCTCCCCAGCTCCCAGTGTTCCTAAGCAAGTGAGAAAATCACAGGGAAAAGTGGTGGCAAAAAACAAGTCTGGCAGATCTTAGCCTGCAAAGCAGGTCCTCACTGCAGGTCTCCAGAGAGCATCATAATTACAATTCAATATTTTCGATCACTTGCTCTCCCTGGGAAAAACTGCAGACGTTTTCAATTTAGGTCCACTCTGAAGCCCAGCCATTGTTTTCTTCCCCACCTCATTTTTTTGACTTGTATATTTTTTTTTTGTTTGTTTTAAACAAAGGTCCCTTATTAAGGAGGTTTGAACTGGACACATGATTTATCAAATAATCATTTTTAAAAAAGGACTGTTATGTTGAACATTCAGGAGAATTAAAGGTTGCAATTGCCTCCAATTAGTAACACGTATCCCAGAACCATAGAAAGAACAGCACTGTAGTTTTATTACTTCTAGAGAAACTCCTTTTGACCCTCAGGGGCAAACAGCATTTCCTTCCACATCCTTTGCAATTCCCCTCTTTTGCAATCTTTACAGTCCTCTGGACAACTCCCTGTTCCTTTGATAAGGTAGATAATCCAAGTTTCAACATTCCCCATTATTGCTGCAGAGCTGGTGTGGAACAAGGGAAAGGACCCATTACCAGACCAATTCTTGGCCACTGAGACAGCTAAAAAGGGAGTCTGAGATCAGCCCCACACTTCAGAGAGCTCACACAGAGCATCTCCTGCCAAAGGCTACTTGCACAGTCAAGATCACAGAATGACTGCTAACGACCACACTGGAACAGAGTGGACAGGACTGACTGGAACAGTGACACATCTGATTTGCTGACACCCTGTTTATCACTGCAGCAGTTCAGGGGTGACAGATTTTTGACAAGCACTTCAGAAGAGCCAGGATTATTCTGCTGGTCCAAAGGCCATCACTGAGCCTTGAGTTCTTCCACTAATTCCCCCTGGAGCATTAAGCACAGATGGGAATTCCCTCAGTTTTGCTTTTTTATTCTCTTTTCATAACCTCTAAAAGCAGTTTGGTGTGACACCAGCCAACCAGACAGACCTAGTGCAACAGTGAGGAGGTTTAGATTGGTTTAGGAAAAATTTCTTCGTGGGAAGGGTTGTCTAGCACTGGAACAGAGTGCTCAGGGAAGTGGAAGAGTCACCATCCCTGGAAGCTTTCAAGAAACACATGGCTAGAGCACCTGAAGACATGGATAACTGGTGAATAGGCTTGGAGTTGAGGATCATAAAGTTTTTTTCCAGACTTAACAATTCCATGATTCCATGATCTCTTCTGCCCCTTAAGTGACCTCTTTTATCCACCCATTGAAATTTTGTCATGGGCTTAAACTGGAGGCATTAGGGAAGGCTGATAATCAAAACTCTGGACAAACTCCTCAAAAAGGTGCCATAGCTGACCCTGCTCTGAGCAGGTGACTCCTCTGGAGATCTCCAGGTCTCCTCCGGCCTCAGCAATTCTGTAATTCTGTGAAAAGCAGTTCCTGCATCTCCCCATGAAGTTACACCCCAGTTTTTCTGATCCCAGACTGAAACAAATAGAAATAGGGGAAAAAGAATTAAGCTGAAAATCTTTGTCAAAAGATCAAGAGTGGAATGGTAGCTCTGTTGGGGTCATCAGTGCACATCAAATGTGTGCTGAATGCTTCTCAAACTGCATCTCTGAGAACAGAGGAGGGAGATGGTACCTCAGAAAGAGCCTCACAGACAGGACTTCAAGCTATAAAACCATGGAATGGGTTGGGTTGGGTTGGAAGGGATGTTGGAGATCATCCAGATCCACCCTCTGCCATGGGCAGGGACAACTTCCACTATCCCAGGTTGCTCCAAGCCCTGTCCGACCTGGCCTTGGACACTTCCAGGGATCCAGGGGCAGCAACAGCTTCTCTGGGCACCCTGTGCCAGGGCCTCCCCACCCTCACAGGGAAGAATTTCTCCCCAGAATCCCATCTAGCTCTGTCTTTTGTAAGTTTGAAGCCATTCCCTGTGTCCTGTCCCTGCAGGTCCTTGTAAATGGTCCCTCTCCACCTTGTAGCTCCTTTCAGGTACTGGGAGGCCACAATGAGGTCACCCCAAAGCTTCTTTTCTCCAGGCTGAACAATCCCAATTCCCTCAGCCTTTCCTCACAGCTGAGCTGTTCCATCCCTCTGATCATCCTGGTGCCTCCTCTGGACTTGCTCCAACAGCTCCAGGGGTTTCTGGGCTGAGCCATATCCAGCTCTCACCCACAAGCACTCCCAAGTCCTTCTCCCAGGGCTGCTCCATCCCTTCATCCCCAGCCTGGATTGATCCCAGGGGTTGCCCTGATCCAGATGCAGCATCAGCACTTGGTCTTTTTAAATCCATGAGATTCCTGTGGCCACTGCTGCAACTTTTCCAGGATCAGCAGGGATACTTCCATGTATCATCTCCATTGCACCCACAGCTGGGAAGCTGCAATCAGACTCATGGATAGGGGCAGCTCTGGCTCTTGTGGAAGTATGAAAGTCCTTATCCTGTCACCAGGGAAATCAGCCCAGGGTCGGAGCTGAAATCTGAGGGGAACTGGAGCCTACCACAACCTGCAGGCAAACCCAGAGCTCTGCTGGGCACCAGGGCCCTTCCTACCTCATCTCCATGGAGGAACAACTCAGTTCCAGGAGAATGGCAGCACCTTCCTGCTCCTGCAGGGAGCTCTGTGCCACAGCTGGGAAATGCCCAGAGCTCAGGGATTTCAAACCAGAAGGCAAACACAGAGAATTCCTGCAAAGCCTCACGGGGCACTTCCCTTTGTGCCACCTTAAGGACCAGGATGGAAAGGGATCATAAGAGTTCATGGGTGCAGTGCAATGAAACTGCTCAGAGCTGGAGGGCCTGAGCAATGCACTTCTGTTCTGTGCAAGCTCCACAGATCTCTGATCCATGAAGAAAAGGAGAAGGGGGAGCTGGGGGAAGCAATTGTGCTGCCTCTGGCTTCCTCCCCCTGTGGCTGCTCAGCAGCAGCCAGAAGACAACAATGCAGCTTCAAATTCTGTTCCCTCCTGCCTGGATTTGCATGAGGAAATTTGGGTGCTTAGGAGGGAACAGGCTGTGACTTTTCTGCCAGAATTTTGAACCATTTCAGGAAATCTGCACAGTAGCCATAAGCCAGCCACTGCATCTGTCAAGGGACTGGCAAAAACATGTACAAACTTAGACACCCTTCATAAAATCCATGTGATTTGCAGTGTTTATCCACAAAAGAACAAATGTTCTGCAGGAAAATGTCCCAGAAGAAGCAACTTTCCAACTCTGAATTTCAAAAGATGTAGAACACAGAGAGAAAACAATACCAACTATTTGAGACAACTCATGAGTGGGCAAAATCTGCTGCCTCAACCCCAGCAGTGTTGAGCTGCTTTAAATCCCAGTTTGTCCTGCTTCCCATTGATCTGACAGCAAGGGAGACAAGGAGAAGATCCAGGGAATATTTAGGTGATCAGAACCAACAGGGCTCCCTGGTACAAGTTTACCCTCGGGATACGAGAGCTCCAACAGCTCTCACAGACTGGAAGTTCCCAAATCCTTATTTCAGCTCCCAGTGACCTGCAGTGAAGTTCCACAACTTCCAAGAGCACAAGGAACAAGTTGTCACCACACTACAGCATATTCCAGAGATTTCCACTCCATTTCAAGCCTCATCCTTCCCTTAAAACCAGAGATTTCCAAGAACTTGGGACCAACAAGGCAATTCCTGCAATATTTTAATTTGTGCTTTTCCACATGTTATTTTTTCCATATCTGGATATGTTGGTCATGTCACAGTTATTTTATCCACTGACAAAGCTGGTCTGTGCTCTGCAAGTGCAAAATGCTAATGAACACATAAATAAAATAAAAACGGGTGCAAACCTAGATCTCATTACCCAAAGTCAGGGGAAAGGTCTTCTTATCAAATATTTATCACTGTTCAGGCCTCTGAATCTTTTGCAGCTGCTCAGTCTTTCCCATTTTTTGTGAAAATAAGGGCAGTTTGTGGAGATTTCCTAGTTGCTACTAAATGTCCAATTTTATTTTGGATATTCATGGATCTTTCACAAAATCATTTAGGTTGAAAAAGACCTCTGAGAGCATCGAATCCAACCTTTGACCTTACAGGTCAAGCAAAATTCTTCTTTGTGATGCACATTTCCTACCAAAAAATTAAAATACTAGAGTTCCCTATCTCCAAAGAAGTTACATCATGATAATCCACAAAAACGGGGATTAAATTTACTCTTATTTCCTCACAGTTCAAGCACAGCACTCCAAGTAGAAAAAACACATTGGCAGAAGACATTTGGATATTTTGTTATAAGGGATAATGGATAAGGAAATAAGAGAAAAGAGAAGATTCTTGTTTACCTGGGTCTTGGCACTCTTCTGCCTTCTTCCAAAAATGCAGGACAGGTCCTGTTCAGTGCATGATGAGAGATCCTTACCTGGAAGGGGTAAAGAGAGGGAAAAACCCCAAAACCTTCACATCTGAGGATGCATTTTGGTAACAGTGTGACCCACAGACAGAGAAAAATTGTTCTTGGAGATAAACAAAAATCAGGGAGTCCAGGTTGGACGGGGCTCGGAGTAACCTGGGATAGTGGAAGGTGTCCCTGCCATGGCAGGGGGTTGGAATGAGATGAACTGTAAGGTCTATTCAAACCCAAACCATGCTGTGATTCTATGATAAGGCCACTAAATGAAGGTACACAAGAGGAAATGTGTGTATGCATTGGGATCTTTGGATTCTCACAAGGATTCCCCATTTCTGACAGAATTAGGGAATTACAGCTCCTCCACACAATGAAAAAAAAAAAATCCATTTTTACTCAGTGGGGACTTTTCTCTGATTTCTGATGTTGCTCTTGAAAAGCAAAACCTTCACCTCTGCCACACACTGTGTTAGTCCAAATCAAAACCATTTCAAGGTGAAGCAAAGATTTCCAGGAGGGCCATTATTACCACCTGATTGTTGTGTGGTGAGCTGGATATCAGACATGGAACAAGGAGAGGGAATCAGGAGAGTGTGATGTGATACTCAGAGATACAGACAGAAGTTTAGCCAGTTCCACAGTGCAGGAGTTGCCAAGTTGTCCACTGCCTCTGTCAGAAAATTCTTTTGGAAAAGGTCAGCAAAAGTTAAAGAAACAAAATTAACCCAGACAGGTCAACTTGTTAGGACTCTGCTGGGGTCTCAATCACTTGAAAATCAGTAACCTCAAAATGAATCCTCTAATGGCCAAAAAAACCCAAAACAAAACAAAAAAAATTCCCCAAATCTGACTTCTTCTTTTTCCTGAGATCCTTAACTGTTCCTGGAGGGTAAAGAGACACATCAGCCCAGAAGAGCAAGTGTTCCCCAGCTTCCTGCTGCCTCACTGCACTGCCTCAAAACAGCCTTGTCCAAGCAAGCTGGAAGAGACCAGGGCTGTTCTCAGCTTTCTCTTGGCTAAGACTTGGAATGTGACACCTAAAATCCTCCTGCTCCCGTTTACAGGCTACGCTTCCTTTCCGTGCCTCCCCCAGGACATATCTCCCATCTTTCCTCTAACAGAAAAGCAGCTCAGCTGACAGCTCCAGTCTCCTGTAGCATCACAGGGGAGCAGCTACTAGAAAAGCAGCTGAAATCAGTGTTTTAATCTGAGCTTGGGGTGTATTTCCCAGATCCAGGGGTGGCTGTTCCTCCAGCAGAGAGGCTCCAAACCCACCCCAGGAGCGGAAGCTGCGCTTGGTGCTGTCGCTGTTCCCTTCTCCCGCTTTTGTGTGAGCTTGTCTTGTTTAGTCTGAAAGGAAGCAGGACTGGACTTCAACAACAAGGGCCATGACAACACAAGCCTTTCTCAAATAACCTTTCCTCTTTCCCTGAAAAAGGACAATTTCCCTGTGTCAGGCCACAGAGGGTACAAGCAAATGAGGGGCTGCCTTGTGGAAATGAGACCAAACACATCAGGGATATTGTGAATATGAAAGCCTTGAGCTGTATTTTACATGCTCAAAAGACACTTCTTTTTTCCTCTATATTTAGTAAAAGGTTAAATCCAAATCAAAATAAATCCTCTTTGCTCAAACAGGCCATGGCCTCTGTACTTGCAAGCCCTGAACCAATGTAATTGTTTTATTTCATAAAATGGCAGGCTCATGTTAACAGCTCGGACTTCAAGGTTGAATTATTTCACCAAAAAATCCCAAACCCTGATATGGAAATCTGGCCTCCATTCAGGTATCAATTAGCTCTGTTTTAGCAGAGGCATTTGCTGTCAAAAAACATTACACAGAGCTTTCAGTTTAATAAATCAGCCATTAGTGGAAACTGATCCTATCCATGCCCTGAAACAGGCACACACCGTGTGAAAGGGGAACAGAGCAAAAGGGAAAGGACTTGAACAACTGTCAAGGGACAGAACCTAGGCTGACTGAAATAATCTCATCACCCTAAGAAAGAAAGAAATTACTCAACTCTACAAATTCTTGACAGTTTTTCTCGCTGCCCTAATTTATCCCATAAAGTACCTGGTCGATGTAAGAGGGTTTTCCTCTTCCTTCATGCAGGTTTAATCTGATCCCTGATCTCATCCACATGATCTCTGAGCAGGGGTTACTGGGGATTGCAGGGGTTAGTGCCACACAGATGCCCAAGTCATTCCCATCTCACCTTTGCCTTCTGCTCCCATCCCTGCCCACGCCCTGACTGCTCGGAATATTCGCTGCTCCTTTATTCAGTTCCTTCAACAATTCCCCAGGGAATTGTTTTATTCCAAACATCAGTGGCTAAGGCCACCCAAAACTGCCCAAAATACAAAGGGATGGCCTATTAGTGCTTTAAGCAAGTAGCTGCAGGGGGTGTTTTTAAACCCAGGTTTTACTTGCCAAATTTAGACTCCACAAGGCAACAGATCACCTTGAGCAGTTTGTTCTAATCTCAGCCAGGGCTTATGAAACGACAAAATTCCTCTTACCTTTGGCAAACTTCATATAATGGACACGTTTCTTGGAAGATTTGGATTTTTCTTCAAGGCTGAATGTCTTTTTCTGCTTTTTCACTGAAGACTCTAAAAAACACAAGCCCCAAGAAAACAGGGTCCATTTCTGTTAGAGGCACTTAAGCACCAAATTCAAACATCAGTATAATTAACTTTCTCTCTCAAAATCCAGTCAACAACATATCATAAAGTATTACTGAAGAAAGCACTCTTAAGTTTTGTCTGAAATATGTGAATGATTGATTTTTGGTTTTGCCCCATCCCCTTTCTTTCCCATTTTCAATCCAATGTAATTTGAAAAGGCAGATACAGGTACTCCAGGTCAAAGGCAAATCCATCTCTGTGGTAAGAGAATAATAACAGTGCTGTTTTTCATAGAGTATCTCCAGCACCAGAGTGGAGAAAGATGTAAGAAATAGTAGGAAATAAAATACTGATTGAGCAGAAAGAAAAAGGGGACCACCCCCCCAAACAGGATTTTCATTTTTAACTCTATACAAAATACCTTTATTTGGACATAAGCTGATACAACTGTGTAAGGAAACTGAATGGTGACAAAGCTTTTCTGTCCCTAAGGCCAGCTAGAACAAATTGCCACATGCCTATTATCTCATTTTCCAGGCTTCCAGAAGAGGGACTGCATCTAAACTGTCCTTTGGGAATGGTTTCTGGGGCTGGCTCAGTCCCAGAGTCACTCAGCAGTACTTTGGGAGACTGTGAACAGGTTAAGGCCACGTGAAGGATTAAGCTCACTATTTAACAGCACAGCTCCTCTGCTGTGGCAGGTTATTTTGGGGGTACAAATGTTCTCTTTGCAGTCACAGAATCTATTAATTTACAAAACATTGCCAGAAGGAGAGAACTAACCTGTTGTACAGTTAATTACTGCCTTACTAGTCCTGAAAAGAGGCACCACAGGAGTCTCTGCTCTGTAACTCCACAGAAGGTTACTATGGTGAGGTGTTTTTTTCCTGCCTGTGGGATGGGTAGGGAAATCAACTCATACCCCAAGGGCCAAGTTGAGTCACCTTTTTCATATGATCCCACCCTGGAAAGCTCTGCTCCCAAGCTTTTCTGGCACTGGAATTCCAGCACTTCCCTGTTTGATAGGCAGTACCACCTTATGAACCCCTGAGTTAAAACTGAAATTCTCAGCCTGTAGTGGGAGAGTCGAGGGCCAGCAGGCTGAGATCCACTCTTTCACTCCCACACTAATGGGAAGAGAAAGGACCAGCAAATCCAGTTTTTAACAAAAAAAAAAAAAAAAACAAAACAAAACAAAAAAACAACTCAATAAGAAGGATCTGTGGGGAAAGTAAGGATCACAACTAAAATATCCTGACAGCCATGCAGCACTTTGAGCCTGGTTTCCAATCTCCTGGTAGCAAAAGGAGCATTGCACAGCAAAAGGTTTCCACAGAGCCTTCCTCCTCCACGTTATTCCTACAGGGAAAGGGGCAGCAGCACCGCCTCGTGCCTGCAGGGAGGAATTTTACTACAGAACGTGCTGGCACTTGCAGTGGGCAGGGAAATACATCCCCGTGTCTTCCAGGGACTGGAAAATCCTCTGACAAACTGAGCAAGCGCTGCAGGAATATTTTTACAAAGCACATTAAAAAAAGCACATTTAGCATTTGAAAAGGACATTTAGTTGGGGCAATAAAGTCACCGAAGTGGCATTTCTGCAGCAAATCTGATTGGGGTGTATGTGCCAAAGCACTGCCAGGATGTTGTCCCACTTTTTATCCATGAAAAGGACAGTCACCATAACTAAGGACCCAAGCAAAGGAGACAGGAATTATAGAATGGTTTGACTGGGAAAAGACCATGGAGTCCCAACTCTCTTCCACTATCCCAGGTTGCTCCAAGCCCTGTCCAACCTGGCTTTGGACACTTCCAGGGATCCACAGGGCAACCTGTGCCAGAGCCTCACCACCAGCGGATGAATTTCTTCCCAATATTTAATCTAATCTAAACCTGCCCTCACTTGGTGTTCAGCTAGTGAAAAAAAAAAAAGGAAAAGACAGCTAAAGCTACAGATGCTGAGGGTATCTGAATGTTGGCATCAATCCCCATGGGGCCCTTCCTTTCCAACCTCTAATTGCAATCCAGCTCTGGCAACTGCACCGGTTCTTTAAGAACAATGAAGTTTTTCAGCTGACTTTTAATGCAGTTTGAAACTGGAGGGTGGCCAATAATGTTACATTTGCTCCTGCAGCACAGCTGCAGGCAGAGTTTTTTCCTGGATGAGTTTTGCCAGCTTCAACAATTGCCAAAAGAACAAGTTTCAGAGTGATGCCTTTCTGTAAATCACCAAATGTGACTCTGACCTGGAATTTCCAAGGTGCACCCAAATTTGCTATCAGTGATTGAAAACTTGTCCCACTTCCTAAAAAGACCAAAAGAACTGAGTGAAACAGGGAGAAATAAGAGTTCTCAAAGGTCACTTTGCATGAGGTGACCCAGGGAAGAGAGCAGAGCTTAGGGCCAAGCCTTGCTCCCTGAACTTGCCTCTGCTGACTCACTGTGGCCCTGGGCAAGTCATTTCGGCTCTCTGCTCATCAGTCTGCAGGTTTCCCACCAGTTACACCTCCCTGATCTTCCCAGGGCTCAAGTTGCAACTTGGGAAGGATTTAGTTCTGAAAAGAGACAGGAACTTGTGGAATTTCCCCACGAAATGATCTCCTACCTCTCCAGGAGTGACAGCACCGAGTCCTGGGTGGCCTCATGATTTCACAAGGACAGCTTGCATAATAAATTAAAAAAGGTGTTTTGAGGCATCAGGCTCAACATTTTAATCCTAGTATTCCAGGATTAGAAAACTTCCTTGCTAACTGATTTTTCTCCTCTTCTTTCTACAGTTTCTCTCCTAGAAAAACTTCAGTGCTCCAAGGTTAAGAATGAATGAATGAAGAGTTGCTAAATTCACTAATCTGGCAATTCTGTCCCAGCAGCACAAGGACAGGCTGTGTCCAAACAGGAGCCCTTGATTTAACAACACTCAAGAGAAGTGTTCAGATACAAAACCAGTTTAAACTACATTTAACTACAAGAGAAATGATAAATCACTTCATTAACCAATTCTTTCTCTAAGCTCACACCACAACTTCCTAACTTCATTTTCACAAAGCAAGGTCAGTTTGTAAGAAGGTTTTCAAAAATAGAAGACTTCAAAAATAACTGTTTTAGGAAAGCTTTCCCACTTGTGTGCTCAACACCAGGGCTACAAAAATCCCGTTATGCCACACTCAAAGCAGAGATGTAGAACTCTGAGGCAAAAGCTACAGAGCAGCTCTCCAAGGACAGGAAAAGGAGGTATTTTAAGAAGCCACTGGAGCATGGAAGCCAAGTGTGACAGTTCATCAGCAAAAGGAAGGCATAGCATTGCAGTGCTGAGTGGTTGCTGTGAGCCTTCAGACAGATTTTGGGTGCTTTATAAAGAAGGAAATGCTCCTCTAGGTACAGCCCAGGGAAAGTGTCCCAAATATTGTGATCCCGGATGAAATAAACATTTCATCAGGTTAAACATTGCATGTTTTCTTTCCTCAAGAAAAAGCCTTTCTCTGAGTGCTGAGAGCAAAACTGATACACTGAGATCCACAAATCCATGTTCATGGACGGCAACACATCCTTTGGCTCCCAGTGATTTTGGGGAAGAAGTTCTCAACCTTATCTAAAATATTATTTGCATCATAAACTGGGCCTCAGGAACTTTTTCAAGGCACAGAATGGAAACTCTGCTGAGCTTCCAGCATTTGACTGAGCCAAGCATGAACCTACCTGTTTCACCCTGTCCATGGCAGTTATTCAGCTCAGCCAGAAGCTGGTTGAAGTCATCCTGATGAGCAATCCAGTCGTCCTGTAAATATCACCCACAAGAATACAAGGCAGAAGTCTTCAGAACTAACACAAAACAGATATAAAGTTTTAAAAACCAGATAGTAAGACTCTTAGAAGTAAATAAATTGGATATATCCAATCCTTGTTGGTGGGAGGGACCCTGGGAAGCTCCACAGGTGGTAACACCAATCACAGCTCCTACAGCCACCCCAAACTGAAACGAAATTAAAAGGGTTGTCTTGGAAATCCTGAACAATCCTGTTTGGTATATGCTAGCAGCTGCTGTGACTACAGTTTTCACTAATATTTCATTCAAATAATTGTGCTTCTGCTGAAATGGGATCCATTCCCTGCCCTGGGTCTAGTGCTCACCTCATGATTGATGGTAGCTCCTAATCCCAGCACGTCGTTTTTCACCTTAACCCTGATGTGCTCTGGATTTCCTTGCTCCTGAGCCCCGAGACCCTAAGGCAGATTTGAAGGTAAAAATGTAAGGATTTCACAGCAGCAATTAGAGCTTTTGGACTGTGAGACAGTTCACAAGGAAATACAGCAAGAAATCAGAACTTCCTGTTTATTTGCCCGCGTGTAGCTGAATTCAGTCACAGGTATTACCACACAGCACACAAAGTTTTTTTAATTCGCTACTTAAGCCTCCAGCAAAGCAATATAAACACTTAAAATAACAACAACATTAAGTAGTGGGTGATTAATCAGGAAGCCACCTGACATTCCTAAGCAAGCCCAAATTGTTTACAGTTTTCAAACAAGACTCTACATAAGAAGAAGGTGCCTCACCCCACAAATGTCTCTGTCACTGGGAAGGGTAATGGGAATGAGGCAGATCCACACAGAACACACAATCCAAACCAAATTTATATAGAAGGAGAGCAGGGAGGGGCAAGGGAGAAGCAGACTGGAGCCAGCAGGGCATTCACAACTCCTTCCACTTCACGAGTGGATGAAAATATTGACGAAAACCACTTTAGGGTTGTTTAATATGAAGCAATATCTGGGTTCAGGGTTATCTTTCTCAACTGTATGGTCAAGGCTAAAAAAGTTAAAAGGCAAAGCTTTGGGTTTAAAACTTTGTTCCTGCTGTTCACCTCCTTTTTGCCTCATCTTTTACAAATCATCAGCCAAATGTGTTAGAATCAATAAACATTTATACAGTGCTGCAGTGGAGAGAAGCCCTGCAGACACATCCTGGGATATGGAGTATTTGAAGGGATGAGGCCTATTTGGAAAAGGCTGTTGTTGTTACAAACAAAAAGTCTATTTGGTCAATGGGGTGTAAAATTTGCCTTGAAACTTCTGCTGACCAAAAAGTGTGGAAGCAAGCAGGACACTTGGCCACACATCCTCCTCTGACCCAATTCCAGTACAACCATTTACAGGATTGGTGTTAAGCAGCCTAATTTCACTGCCCAGATGGGGTTTTGCCCCTTAATCTGATCAAGGGAAAGTTCAATTTGTCCAAATTTGTAATAGAATGGAGATATAATCCTTCTTGTACAACTGCTGGCAAGGAAGATCCAGTATCTCGAATGGGAAACGTTGTGAGACAACTGAGGCAACAGTTTAAATCCAAAAATAAACTTTAAGGTATTTACAGAATTGAGAATGATCCTAATTTTATGCATTTTAAGGAAGGTCTGGAAGAGGAAATCTAGAAGAATAATTAAAGGTAGTGGGGGTTTTGTGGGGATTCTTTCACTAAACAGCCTGATGTGCAGCCCCAAATCTCAGCTTTGCTGAGGCACCTCTGTGCAATTAAACCTGCAGTTTGCAGGTGTCTGTGCTGACCTGGAGGTTTTTATTAGTGCCAGAAACCAGTTCCCTCACCCACAGGTCCTGGCTGGAGCTGGGAAGGGACACAGCTCACAGCACTTGGGGGGTTCAACGAATAGATCAGATAAAAATCTTAAAACTAGGTGAAAGACTAAAGCAGGTCCTGGAGTTGCTTTAAAGAGTATCAAAAGCAAGGAGAGAACTGAGGGTTTAAAGGCAGCTTAAAACCTTTAACCCGATTAAATGTTCCAGCTCCTGCTCTCACTTGGGAATTTAGATTGTCAAAGAATGGAGAGAAACTGGAAAACAGGAGAGGCACACACAAGACTTTATAACAAAGGGTTGCAGAAATCTACCACTGGTCAAGTTCCCTGTGCATTTAAAGAGAATAAACCAAAACTGACCCCTGGCAGTTTTAGACCCTTCAGCTACACAGTTCTCCTTTAGATCCTACCTTTCCTTTGGACCAGCCCATCTTTTCCAGCATCTTCTGGCCAAATTTGGAGTCATCGTTGCTCCAAGCGCTGTTCCGTGGATCCACGGACCACTTCTGCTTTCTCCGGGCTGCAGCAGGAAGGGAAAATTCAAACAGGCTCTACTGGCATTCCCAGAGAGTTCTTGGTATTGAATCACTTCAACCAAAGCTCTTCATTGCAAAAAAAAAAAAGACCCCAGAACTTATGCCAGACTCAATATATTTTGGGGGTTAATTTTACTAAATGAAACAACACAACAACAATAAAAGCCCAGTGAAAATATTAATTTTTAATGGGAAGATGCCAAGGTAGGAAGTTGCTGTCCCTCAGGATGGGCTGCAGTTCAGGGAAGGCTTTAAGGATTACCATTTAGGTGTGAATTCCATATTTATTCCAATTTTGTTCTACATCTGGCTTCAACATGGAGTCTATGAAGGAGGAGATTAGGATGCTGCTTTCCCAGCTCTGGACAAAATCAATTCTCCAGGCTTCCCTTTAACCAGAACCCAGAAATTTTAATATCTGGTTTCCTAACAAAAGCCAAATGAAAAGTCCAATGTAAGTGATCAGAGAAACTGAATGACAGAACAGAAAACTGTGGGATTGCAGCTTTTGGATTTCTCAGAAATGGTTTATGAGGGAAATGAAAAGCTGCCAGAAATTATTGCAGGAGTTAAGAGATACAAAGAAGAATCAAGGCTCCTTTGTCCTATGTGGATTCCCAAAGAAATTACAGATTCCCAGACCCACATGTTGCCTTTCCCACCAGGAGCAGCTTCCTTAAAATCAAGGAAGAGCAGCGAGCCCAGTTATCCAGTCACTTGAAGTGTGCACCTAAGCCCAGGCAGGAAGAGAACCTAAATAAACAAGACAAACAAAGAATGGGAGACAGGAAGATCACAAACTTCATTAAACACCATGGGAAATGCTGGATCAAAAATGACCGGTTAACCCAAGGCCACACAAGGCAGGGAGAAGCCAAATCCAACGAGGTGTTTTCAATATAATCAGGAAGTCATCGTTCCCTAAAAGACAAGATTTGGGATGTGGGCCAGAGGAACTGAATATTACAGGGATGTTTGACTCATTTTTTGCCCAGTTTTGTTTCATTTTTAAGGAACTAAGACTGTCAGAATTCAAGGTGGGGGCTTTTTTTATCACACTTCCAAAACTTTGAAGCTCCAAACGGCCCCTACACAGTTTTTACAGTGGGTTAAAGGCCTGGGGGCTGTGAGGGGAATCCAACCTTTGCCTGGTTCACTTCTCTACAGGAAACAACTGATTAACCTCAGAGGCTGTGGGTGCCCCTGGATCCCTGCAAGTGTCCAAGTCCAGGCTGGATGGGGCTTGGAGCAACCTGGGAGAGTGGAAGGTGATCCTGCCCATAGCAGGGGGTGGAATGGGATGAACTTTAAAGTCCTTTCCACCCCAAACCACCCCGGGATTCTGTATTCCCACCAGGAAACCTTGAGAGCAGTAACACCTCCAAGTCCTGCCCATGGTGCCAAGAAAAGATGGAGAACCAGCACTGTGGTCAGTGATTATAAATTTCCAAATAAACTGGGACTCTCCGCTGCCTCACGAAGAACCACAGGGCTCAGCCTGGAGAAAAGGAGGCTCAGGAGGGACATTTTGGCTCTTCACAACTCCCTGACAGGAGGGGCAGCCAGGGGGGTCAGGTTCTTTCCCCAGGGAAAAGGGACAGGAGAAGAGGAAATCACCTCAAGTTGTGCCAGGGGAGGTGTAGATTGAACATGAGGGAAAAAATTCTTCATGAAAAAGGTGATCAGACACTGGAAGAGCCTGCCCAGGGCAGTGGTGAAGTCCCCATTCCTGAACGGACTTCAAAGCCATGTGGATGTGGCACTTGGGGACATGGCTCAGTGGTGGCCTTGGTAACGCTGGGGGATCCTTGGACTTGGTGGTCTTGGAGATCTTTTCCAACCTGTGTGATTCTGGTTCAAGGATTCCAGCAGATCTTATGTTCCCCAACTGAGCAGCTGCCCTTTTTTCCAATCACAGAAAAGTGAATTTCTATGGTTTTTCCTGAATATCTCTCCCTGTGGAGAAGCCCCTGAGATGTTTTGCTCCCAGGAGGTTGTTGGTAACAAAGCACAAGGGCATCAAACACAATTATTTCTTGAAATTAAGAGACGTTCCCTTTCCCAGCACTTTCAATCTAAGTATTGCAACCTCTTCATGTTTCTGCAAGGTTAACATACTCTGATTCTTAAATAGGGTGAGTTAGATGCAGGAAAAAACCCCAAACAAACTTGCTTTCATCTTTGGAGAAGTATTTAAGAAAGAGAGGAATAGCTCCATGCCATTTACAGAAAACATAAAATCATCCTCCCTTTCCAAACAAACAACAAAATCCATTAATTAGTCAATAATTTACCAGAAATGTAAATTTGTTTACTGATGTCTTTAGAGTGGGAGAGGAAACCAGGAACAAGATTCAGCTCCTAATTTAACATCAATTTTCTGGGCTTCTTCAAAAATGATGCCACAGACAGCGATGGAACTCTGGGAGAGCAGCACCATCCAGTGGAGAAAATCCTCATTTCTTTAGGGAATCACAGTATCACCGAGGTTGGAAAATACCTCCAAGATCACCGGGTCCAACCATCCCCCAGCACTGCCAAGGCCACCACTGATCCATGACCCCAAGTGCCACATCCACATGGATTTTAAATCCCTCCACAGATGGGGACTCCTCCACTGCCCTGGCCAGCTGTGCCAGGGCTGCACAACTCAACTCCTTCACTCAGAAATTCAATGATCTGGAAAAGATCCATTACTAATCCCTTTTCCAAGACGAATTCTATGTCTGGAGCATGTTTTTAATTATAATTTCTAAAATTTCCCATCCAAACCCCTGCTGTGTGCCCAGAGATGGTCTGGGGGGAACAGGAAGGACAAAACTCTGGTGCCAGGCTGGGAGAGCTGGGAGTGTTCCCCTGGAGAAGAGAAGGATCCAGGGAGAGCTCAGAGCCCCTTTCAGTGCCTAAAGGGGCTCCAGGAGAGATGGAGAGGGACTGGGGACAAGGGATGGAGGGACATCCTGCACACTGACAGAGGCAGGGATGGATGGGATATTGGGAAGGAATTCCTGGCTGTGAGGGTGGGGAGAGCCTGGCACAGGTTGCCCAGAGAAGCTGTGGCTGCCCCTGGGTCCCTGGGAGTGTCCAAGGCCAGGCTGGATAGGTTTGGAGCAACCTGGGATGGTGCAAGGTGTCCCTGCCCATGGCAGGGGGTGGAACCGGATGAGCTTTAAGGTCCCTTCTGCTCCAAATGAGTCCATTATTGACATGTCCAAATAAAATAATAAATTCTGAATAAAATTACACCGAAGTTTACACAGAAAATACCTAAAAAATTCCATGTTCAAATGCAGATTTATTTCTCTTAAGGCAGATCTTGATTTCCCAGTGTACACCATATTTGTTATTTGTATTGTCCATATTTCCTGCAGCCCAGCACAGAAATTCATCAGACCCTGAGCTCTTGGCCAAGGGTGACCTGTCAGAAACAGGGAGCCCAACTTCTCCATCCCCTCAGAGGCAAAACTGAAGCTCTTTGTTTCCAATATCAGGGAAGCTTAAACAAAATCCACAGAATTATGGACTATCCTGAGCTGGAAGGGACCTGCCAGGACCACTCAGTCCAACCCTTGGTCCTGCACAGAGACCCCAGCAATCCCACCCTGTGCATCCCTGGGAGAATTGTCCAAACTCTCCTGGGGTTCTGGCTGCCTTGGGAATGTCACCATTCTCTGGGGAGCTGTTCCAGTGCCAGACACCCTCTGGGGAAGAACCCTTCCCTGATATCCAACCTAAATCTGACACAGCCCCAGCTGTTCTCTGGCTCCTGTCACTGGGAGCAGAGACTGGAGCTGTCCCTCAGGAGGAGCTGCAGCCCCAGTGAGCTCTGACTGGGAAATGCAGAGACAGAGATGGATACGGAGTTTGATTTAAGGCCCTGGAGAAGCCTTGAAGCTTTAGAATAGAACAGTGAAACAGACACAAAATAAGAATAAAGGTTTGCAGTTTAAGCAGAAATATGTTTTAAGCAAGTAGACCTAGGCCTCGTATAAGTGAGCAAATATGCTGAGCAAGATGGTAGAAAAAAAATTCAAGTTTAACAATAGAACTTGTTATAGAGTTGATAAAAAGTAGAAGATACAGCAGTAAGGTTCAGTAGAGTTGCACCATTAGATAGAAAAAGATAAATTAAGGTAAATCATGTAAAACATAGCCATTAGCAATTGGTTGTGAAGATGCCAGTGAACTTTGTGGAAGCAGCTGATTGGATAAGAAATCAGAAATTTGGATAATGCCTTAGAAAAGGCTTTGTAACTAGAGTTATAACAGCTTCTTGATGTGATGGGTGTGAATGTCACAACCTCAGTCTTGCCCTTCCATGACTGATTTTGCCATAAACCATCTTTTAAACTCTTCAGTCGACCTCACCCTTCTGCATCCCCAACATATGACCCCAGTCCCCTCCAGTGCCCTCGGTCACTGCTCATTTGGTCCCTCCAGAGCCTTCCCCACCTCCAAATCCTCCCATGGAGAGTCCCTAAAAGTGGGAGATTGGCACAGGTTGAGCTCAGCTCCAGCACCGCCCCAGCAATGACCCAAGCATCCACACCCAGCCCTGCCACGTCCCCCCTGCTGGAATTCTGGATGCTGAGGATTTAAAACTTTCTGTGCTTAAAGGCATAGACCCACAAGAGAACACTGCATTTGACCTGAGGCTTTTAAAATTGATTAGCAGCACTGGGATTACGGGTTTCTAGTTGGTTAGAAGTGTGTAATATCATAGGGTGGAAAACTTAAAAAGAGTTTGGGGTTTTAGAATATAGAAATAAATATGAAGCAAGATGGAGGTTTTAGGGTGGAAAGGGGTTGTTGTTTCTACCACCTTCTTTTTTCTTCATGGGTTTGGGTGATGTTTTGTAATTGGACAGAAAATCCAGATTGCAGGCTTTGAGAAAACACTTTTTGGGTTAAAAGGGAAAATAATCCAGGTGTCCTTTCTTAATTGGATAATTTAATCTTAAAAGACCTTGTAACAAGCAGTAGCCATTTTGTGCCTTGCTAATGAGAAAGCTGAACTCACTGTAGTGAGACTGTAACACAGATAAGAAATAATAAACACCCAAGTCTGAACATGAAATACCATCCCAAGTGCCTTCAATCCTGACCTTGAGAAATCTA